TGATTATCATTTTTTCAGTTGATTTATTCTTATAATGAAATCATTTTAATTGTTTCAAAAATTCAGATAAAGCTTAATCTTGTATGTTTGTTTATCCATGTATTTATGGCACTTTAAGGTTAAATATCACACTAGGATGATATCAATCGATTATATAGTAAAGAAAACAGATGGTTAACTACAAACAAACCTATGGTTTACAAGAACCCAGAATTATTGGATGAAAAGGGTTTTTAAAAAAGATTCTAGTTCTTCTATTATTATAGAAGATTTTTTTTTTTGAATTCATTTAGATCTATATGTATCTGTATGACAAAGTGAACGAAATCTACTGAGTGATGTATGTATTTCACTGTATTTTTTTCTCTAAACAAGTACCAAACTGAAACTGTTTGGAATCGGTGATTATCTACTTCTCTCACATTGCATTGTTCTCTCTTGTTTTTGCTTTCTTGTCTTTCCTGTTATATAAATTTTCTCTTTCCGTCATCTTCTTAATGAGATATTGATGATTTTTAGACTGTTTCTCTTGTTACTTGAGTTATTTTTCTCTCTCGTCACGCTTGTTCGACTTTTGCAATTTTCTTTACTATTATAGACTGTGATGTCACATCCGCTTTTATATGTAGTGTGATTTTACGATAAACACCCTTCGATAAAAAAAATTCATCTATTTTGATCTTCAGAGTTAACTGCTTAAGGAGTTCTCCATCTTTTCATAATAGGAATAGATGAATTCGAATGAGTTGACAGTCTCAATTTATACTACGTAAAACTCTTATATCTATCTTAATCTACTTGCTTTTCTATTTTTTGATTAGTTGTGTAGTTTTTAAGAAAAGAGATGTAAGTTTTTCGTTTTCTAATTGAATTTAAAATGGTGAGTAACATAATATTATTTATTAAGGTCAAAATAACTATATGAGAAATCAACGAACGATCATAAAAAATTTCTCTCTTATTACTTTCACCCCATAACAGTATCATAATATTGTGAAGACAATCTGTTTTTCTTTTCTGAAAATAAACTCACCATCTCTGACTGTTGCAGATTTTCAATTAACGAAGAAACATTCCCAAATCTCTGTTAATTTTTTAGTCGGAATTAAGCACATCTTGTAGAGCTTAATGAATTTTATTTACAAAGACAAGAGTTCGTGTCCAAAACTTATTTCTGAGAAGATCGAACGTTTATAGAGAATTTCATTTGTGTGATCCTACGTTTTCAATTTTTCGACCGCAATATGAAGCTTTCAAAAATACATACAATATATATACTATTTATGGAAACGAATGTACAGGTAATGCAAAAAATATTCGAAAACTTAAGGCGGTTCTTACGCTTCTTCAAAATCGATTTTCGTCTAAGTACATGCAAATCGCATGAAATTCTGAGGATATGTTGTGACCATAATGGAGAGACTATAATAAAACTGCAGTCCTATAATGTAACATTTGAAGTAGATATTCACCAAACAAGGGTCAACAATAGTTCATTGAGCAACTCGAAACTCTCTGTAGGCCTTCATTCTATACATTTTTTTTCGTTTGATACGGCATATCAGGATACACGATATGACAGAGCCTTTTTTCTGAATGTCCCTTCTTAAACGAAAAAAATGGATGAAAAGTTAAATAACTCACAAAGCTTCGAAAAAATGGAAGTGCTCTGGGTTATTGAACTTGCCATCGGTTGTCTTTACTTAAAAACGAAAGTTTAGAAAAAAAGCACTGCCATGCTCTGCATTCTGATAGGCTTGTTCAAAAAACAAAAAATAAATATCTAGAATGAAAACTCACAAAGAATTTCGACTTAATATATCAACTATTGTTACCTCTTGTTTGGTGAATATCTATCTCAAACGTTACATTATAGGACTGAAAATTTTAGCAGTGTCTCCGCTACAGTCTTAACACATCTTGAAACTTTCATGCGATTTACATGTACTTAGACCAACATCGATTTTGAAGAAAAGTGGGAGTAGTCTTAAATTCCTACATATTTTTCGGACAGACTGTATATCTCAAAAGTTTTGTATCTCGAAAAGACATTGTTCGAATAGTTTGAAATTGTTCCTGCAAGCTAGTTTCATTGACATCTTTATATTAGCCAAGTTTTAGGTCGAATATTGAAACTATGGTATTGCTGCAAATGAGGAGTTTCACTGCTGAGATTTATTCAAAACATTCGATGTCCTAAGAAATAATTGATGATCATGAAGTCTTTTTATGGTAGACATATGCTAATGGCCAAAACTATTCTCTCACTCGAATCTTAGGTCTTATTAAAGATAAAAATTTCAAAACTAGCGTGTGATTAGTCGGAAGATGATATACGGTAAATAGTAACATAACCATCAAAATTGTTGAAGCTAGAACGAGGTTACAACAGAGGGTAACCACAGTCACTGTGAGTCTCATAAACTAAGAACAGATTAGCTTTTTACGTTGTCGAATCCTTCATTTTGTAGCACTGCATTTTGTGTATTTATGATAAAAATGAATCGAAATTCAGTAAACTATTGACAATACAAATTATTCTTGTAATAAAAACATGAATATTCAAACAAAGCCATACAGTGTCATTGAATGTTCAATAACTCAGCAAATGTTTAATGGATTCAACTGAAAATTTCAGGAAGTGTGTCACAATAATTGACAAGTGTTTCCTGAAAGTTTCAGAAGCAAACACTTGTTTGAACGAAAATGGTGGATCAATGATCATCTTGTATTTGTCATGACTCTGGAATCTTCATTGTGTAAACGAATAGGATCATTTTTTGAGCAATCAAGAAAAATAAGTTAAAATACAATTTCATGCTGAACGATCAATAATCACTCTAATAATTACTCTAAAAACAACACATAGATAGGCAAACCAACTTTTCACTATTTTTCTGTCAAAGGGAGTGTTTATTTTTATTTGTTAAGATTTTACCAGAATAAAAACACTTTAAACTGTTTGGAATTTTTACGAAACATTAAAACTTAGCTGCCTTCATCGAAGCATGTAGTATTGGAGTTAAAATTTTTGAGACTTGTACTAAAACTGCCCGAAATTATATAATGTACTGAGATCTATAGTAACTTTCTCCTAAAGTGTTGAAAAAATAATCTTTCTATAACATTATAGAGATCTTATTCGTATCTACCATAATTCGCTTTAAATTTGACGTGAGGAACAATATGGTATCTATAGAAAAGTGATTTCTCTTGTCTCATAAAATTCTTAAGTCATCCAAAACGATTATCTTAGTCGAATCTTCATAATGAACACAATTGCTTCGTTTGGTAGAGAAATAGTAAAAAAGAATTTCATCAATTTCTGTGTTGTTATTAAGGTCATACATAAGTAATTATCCATCTTTCAGCATGAAATTGTTGTCTAATTTATAGTTATTTATTCCTCAAAAGATGATTCCATTTGTTTGAGTAATGGAGATTCTAGAATCATGACAATTTCCTGATAATCAACGATGTACCATTTTCGTTAAGTAAACACTTTGTTTCTAAAAATTTTATAAAACAATGACAACTACTGCGCAACACATTGTAAAAATTCTAGATTGATCCATCAAATGTTTATGCAGTTATTGATCATTCAATAACATTCTGTGGATTTTTTTTGCATATCCATGTTTTCGGTTAAAAAATGTTCCTAGTCATCAATAGGTTGTTGAACTTTGGTAAAACTCAAATTAGCAGTGATCATAGATGTCATTTATTAAAGCTTGGCTCTACTTTGAGCAATTTTTGCACAAATGTTACCTATGATCTACATTTTGTGTAGACAACTTGTACAAGAATTTTCAAATATTTAGCTCTCATAGAAACTAAGATCTAAGTAAGGAGATACTTTTGACAAGTACGGTAGTTCATTAAGGTATCCAGCATGTAATAAGTTTCAATACAAGAGCAAACGGACATCTGAAAATGTTTTCTTGCACGTGAGATAAGAAATGAATTTTTTCTTTTTGTATATTTCCATGAAATAAATGATATGCATCTTTTACTGAATACACATCAAACTAAACATCATTTTTGTTTGCATTAAGAAACAGAGTCATTTTCATCATGTCATTCTCATACCGATTAGAGACGAATATTTTTATTAGAGTTCGAAAAAAAGATACTGAATGCCCATATTAAGTATTGTTTACAAAGATTAATCGCTGTTGATAGTAAAGCTGCATTTTACATATGACGAAGATATATCTTTCTACAATGAATCAGATAGTTATAATCGAGAATTCATGCGTATCTTGTTTGTTGTCAGATAATATCTCTTCATTCTTTGTAAACAAGGAAAAATTATATTAGAGTCAATCATGTGAGATATCCGTTCAAACTGAACACGTTCGGATAGAGGGCTAGGCGGATTCGAATACATATTGCAGTTCGGATTGTTTTTTCACGAATTTTTCCATTTTTTTTATCAGATTGTCGACACTAAATGAGTTTCAGCAGTTTTTTAAAAACTCCATGAATAAATGCTATACTATCTCATTTGTAAATGAATGAAGTTTTATGTTTTGTTTTGTGGTCTGATATGTACTCATCATAAAGAATTCGACACGCGGATGGCGTTAGACACTTTCAAGACAGTTGCCGAATCCTCAGTTTTGACTAGAGATCCAGAAGAAAACAGTAAAAATGGCATAATTCACTATGATTCAGTCCTTCTTTAAATTACACTCCTTTAGTTTTTTTCCCTTTCGATAAGATCAACCTATATATTCTTTTGTGTGACGAATTACTAATAAGTTTTTCAGAGAGTTGATGAATAATCGTTACTAATATAAGAGGGAAAGTTTCACCCTGCTATCAAGAAAGAAAGATTGACGGCGAGGTTTCTTCCATGACGATAAACATGTGTATGGGATTTGCATATTTGTGAATAAAATTGGAGAATTCTCATAAGTGCCTGAAATTTTCAGATGTTGGACCTTAATATAAATACGTGCCCGCTAGAATGCAGACTCCACTTTTAATTTGAATCAATGGCTGAAACGAATATACCACTTCGTGTGATTGTTCAACCTAAAGCATTTCATCGTGAAAGATATTCATGTGAAATAGATCGAAGTCGTAATCGATCACAGCGTTTTATTCGTGCTGAATCTAATCCACATCATTTGGACTACCCAACAATCGAAGTAAATAACATTTTAAAGGGTTTTCTTTATTTATTTCTAACATGATTGTTGATTAGATACCAAATCACTGGAATAGCCAAACGTTATATATTCGTGTAACTTTAGTAACCGTTAGAAGCGAACAAGTTCCTGTGACATGCATACATCCTTATTCAATTGATGCTTCGGAATTAAATGTTATTAAAGACTTGGAAAGAAATACACTTTATTTTCCAATATCAGAACAAGAATTACATAGTGGTCGTAAGAGGTGAGATGTAAAAATAAAAACGTTTTTTTCTAAAAAATTTGCTTTGTTGTTTGGTTAAATATAGTTTTCACATTATCCGTAGAAAACTAACACAACATGAGTTAAGAAATTACGGACAATTATGTCTTTTGAATACAGGTAATGAAATAAATTTAAAAAAAATACTTTATTAACTAATTTGTTTTGTTCTATAGATGAAAAAGATATTATACGTGTAGATGATCTACATGATGCTCGAAAAATAATTGAGGCTTATCAATTAGGAAAATCACAATTACTTTTTTCTCTAGCTGAACTATTTGATAATGATCCATTACCAGTTATCTATGATGTAACATCCGTATATTCTTGTATAATGACTGCTACTGCAGCAATGCCTATAAATAATGAGGAGTTGAATGTTAGATGTTCACCAAAAAAAGGTTGTTGGGAAGGTGGTGATGATATATTGATGTTTGTTCCAAAAATTGATAAGAGAAAAGGTAGTTTATTACTAATACTTTTTTTCTTCATTATTGTTTAATTACATCTTTTGCTTTTTCTTTTCTAGTATGTCAGGTACATTTTGAAAATTTGTCATCAAATATAAAAATTCCGATTCCTTTCAAATTTGTGGATATGAAAACAATTGCATTCAAAACTCCACCATGTCCTGTACAAGCAACAGGAAATGAAAGAATAGAAATTCCTCTAGTTGTTAGTCAAAGTGGTGAAGAAATTGCGCGTATTAACTTTCTTTATCAATCTTGTAAATGACTTACTAGTTTTTAGGACAGAATATAAAAATTTCTCTTCTTCTTCTTTAGGTGATACATGTTCAAATTGTGATGTTAATTCTATGTTCGATTCTTCCGATTCATTAAACGCTGATGAACAAACTTCACCGTTAGATATGTGTTTAGATAATAATGATACTTCTATGTACGCTAATGATCTGCTTTATTATGTGAACTATTAATCTAAAATTATGAATTTTATTTTAATAGATCACAATGTAAAAACTGACAACTAATCTTCTCTGATGACAAAGTATTCTATTCAATTTGGATCGTTTTTGAAGGTCAAGTAAAGCTTAATTTACAACAGAAAATATGTTTAATTTTGACATAACAACTACTCTTTTTTTTAAATTTTTTATGATATGTGTGTCTATTTTGTTCTTTTAAATTTTATCGCATATAAATAAAGAACGAATGACTTACACTGCTTCGTTTATTCTGTAGGAAGGAAGAAAAGACGCGATCAATACAACTTTGAATTTTTTCAATCATAACCGTCTTTTTCTCTTTCTCTTTACTCAAGAGAGTTGGCGTAGGAATATTTCATTGAAGTATCATACAAAACAAATCTAATGTCAAAGACATTATCGATTAGAAAATTCCGAGAAACACTTTATCTATTGTTTGTCACTGATGGCAATAGCCATGTTGGTTTTGACTCAAGTCCAGGCAAAGAAATAGTGAATCATGTTGACTCATGTCTTCAAAAAAAAAAGCATTACAGAGTAAAATGACTTGTTGATGAAGTCTGTAGAAAATTGAAATTTAAAATATAACTGAAACTGGCTTTAATATAAAACAAGAAGGTTGCAGATATATTATATATTGTATTTATAAAATATGAAAGATCCATCGAATTTTCATAATAAACACTTAAGATAATTATGTTAGACATATATATCTGTCTAACATAATTGCTTTGACAAATGTTAATTATTTTCTATATACGAAAAAACAGATATCGAATTAGATATTTAATAAATACCAATGAAACATTATAGTTCTTGATTGATTTTGAATTAATTATAATCATTTCTAAGTAGAACATTTAGGTTATATACTCATATAAGATGAAGAAATAGAATCATAGACATAAGCTATTTACTGTCATTGATTATAAAAGAAAAATGATACGCTTCTTGCCATGTGATATTCTCTTGTTTTTCTGTCCTTCACAATTTTTTTTTGAAATAAATATAATTTGGCTGAAGTGTTTCGTCTATGTCAATGCACGTAAAAGGCTTCAACTCGCATAGTATTAATGTGTTGAAGAAAGAAACTTATCATCAGAATCTTTATTGAAATGACTATGAATAATGAATATATTTTTCAAATTTCATCTTCGATTAAAAAAGAATCCTATATATGTTTAGCATGACCTTGACAACAAATTCATGTTTACAGATCTGTAAAGTAAATTATTTCATGAATCTTTTTGATTATTTAAACTTCGAGTTCAATGAAAGAAAAATATTTTCGAATGAGGGAATGGATGAATAATACCTACGAGTAGAAGAAAAAAGATTAAGTTAACTTAGAAATATCCTCTTCCCTTTTCATTATATTCTGTTTTTTTATCGATTGCAGTGTTTCTACATATCAAACTCAATATATCAGATAGTTTTAAGCATTGTACAACATTTTATTATTATCATTATTGAAATATTATCAAGTAATGTCGATAGCATACGGTAATAGATTAAACGAAAAAAAGAAATTCTTTTTAAATAAGATTCATTTTAGATTGTAATAAAATTTCTGCAGAAGATGTAGATTTCGATGAAAAAAAATGGGAAACTTTAATTAATTCTGATGAAGTATTTACTCAACAATTTTCAAAATCAATCAATACAACAGATCCTTCAAATTTAAATATAAATAAAAAAGATATTGTAAAATTATCAGTAAATAGTTTAAAAATAACAACCTTTATTAACAGCAATAAATTTATTCATACTGGGCGATCAATGACGATTTTTATTCCACCTTGTTCTAATCAACGTGTTCGATATGAAAATGAATGTGAAAAAATACTTCGTTATCTTTCTGTTCCAAATAAAAGAACTATGACGATAGAAGTAAATGAAGAAAAAAAAAATTTTTTTTTTTGTATTATTGTTTCTTTTAATTTAAACAGATTCCTGATCTTCGTGATATATTTGCTATTAGTGATACGATTTGGATACGTATAACACGTACAACCATTGATCATCGAAACGATCATCTTATTTTTTATCATCCATATCCAACATGGATTAAAGATAGAAATGCTCGAATTCATAATGGCTCGATTTTTCTTCAGATAACTGATAGAGATATGAAAAATGGTTTTATAGAGTAAATTTTGATATGAAAAAAGAATAAATAAATAAATATTGCATTTCTTTTGATTTTGTTTTCTTCTAGAATTGATACTTTAGCATTAATTAGACTGAAACAAGATGATTTAGCTAAAATAAATACATTAGGAATTTATTCACGAACTCAACTTAATTTCTTGGGTAAGAAATGAAATTAATCAATTAATTATCTATTCAAATTATAGATCTACATTCAATGGATATTACAACACCAAAATGTACAAGAGATGCATATAAACTTCAACAATCAATTTTGAATTTTCAACTTGTTCGAGTTGATCAAAATAATATTGCATCTCTTACTGATTGTTTTTGTCAGACAGAATCTATATATGAAATAGAAGGTAATATATTTCGTTGTTTACTATAAAAATTTATACATCTAGATATTTCTTTTATAGCAAATGGACAACGACAAATAGACAAATCTTATAAAGTGAATACAATTAAATCGAAGATATTATACAAAAAACAAAAAATTTAAATCGAAAAACAAAACATATGAATACTCAATTAATCAGATCATTAATCTAATAGAACCGATAGGCTTTATCAACTTGTCACTAGTTGTTGACAAAACAATGTATACGTTTGATAATGATGTAAAAAATTTTGTTTAATACATTTATTGAATCATTAGAGCTTTTATTTTGATAAAATAAATAATTTTAGAAATCTAATTTTCTTTTAAATACGCACATGCTGCAAGATAAAGTCTACTTGAAATATCGACATCTATTCTTGATTTATATTTCATTTAGTTTTTCACCTATAAGATACTCGAAAAGTTCGAAAGAAAAACAGAGAGGCAAAAAATTCTTAAACAATTCAAACAGTTTTCATGTAATGTCCGTTTCAAAATATAATGCGCCCCACTGCTTTTTGAATAACTCAAGAACGCAATCAGCTAGAGACCTGCGGTTTTCACCAATCGAAAGAAGAGACAGGGGGGCGTCTTTTTCTCCAATATCGTATCAGATGGAATCATTTTGAAACCAGTCATTTCTGCATAACATCGGAAAAATGGTCTGTCATTCAGATGAAATTTTGACAAAAAGTAAAAAAATTTGCTTCAAAATTAAAAGAAATTCATAGTTTTCTTGTGATTAAATAGACGATTTTATTTGCTAAACGTTAGGATGCGGTAAGATAATCATTCGAATTATATCCTGAAGTATAGATCCGAAATCCCTCTATCTAGATCACATGCCAAAAGGAAAATTTCTTCAGAATGCCGGGTCGTTTTCATGCATTTTTTGCAATGTTTTGCAGAAATGACTAATTCTAAAATGATTTTGCCTGATACAATGTTGGAGAAAAAGACGTCCCCCTGTCTCTTCTTTCGATTGGTGAAAACCGCAGATCTCTAGCTGATTGCGTTCTTGAGTTATTCAAAAAACAGTTGGACGCATTATATTGATATTTTGAAACGGACATTAGTTTTTATGATTCTATTGGACGCTAGACAAAATTTTGTTTCGTATAATTGTGCATGTGCAGCTAATGTTCAAAATGATCTCAAAAGAATGTAACAAGCAAGTTCACAATTTCTAATATTTTGGGCAAAAAAAATAGGGCATAGGTTTCCTTTTGAAATTATTTTTGTTTTGTTTTGTCGTTTCTGAATGATAATTAGATCTGATTGTTGATAACCCGACAGATAAGCCTCACATAAAGAGTAAATTTAAGATATACAAGAAACTAAGTTGTAGATAATGTAAAACTCGAGTGAAAATGATGAACCACAGGCAAAATTTTTCTAAACCGTGATCTGTGGGTAGATACCAGCAAATTTCTGATGAAAAACGTTTTTCAATGAAATTTATTAGGCTCGATGCAGTTTTTTAAGCTGCTTTGAAATATGATGTTTATTTTGGTCTTTTCTTGTAGATCAGTGGTCAAAACGGTTGAATTAAGGATGAATTTTTGCAGACTTTTGTTCTACACACGAAAAGTTTCTATTTCTTCACAAATGCCACTTACTTTTTAAATAATAAATAAATACTGTTGAAACCTGTCTTCGAGAGGTTCTTATGAATTAAGATATCTACGTACATTTTTTCCATACAAATAACTAGTTAAGTTTGCAACCTTGGTTAACAACGAACTTTTGATAGGATGATGACGGATCGTAGCTTGTCAGATTTCAAACGAAGAGTCGTTCAAACAAAGACGTCTTTTGAATACTTTTCGAGTATTTCCAAAATTTTCTCGTAAGAGACGATAAAAGAAAAAAAACTCGAAACCTACATGTTTATGATTAACGCTTCAGGATCTATCCAATGATTTGTAAATAAAACTAGAATCCTTTCCGTTAGAGATTTGCATTTTTCATGTCTTAATTTTATTTGAATATGTTCATATTCACATAAAAAATCTTTCATTTGAATTACATTGAAATTATTTTGTCAGCTTTTAGTGTATGAATATGATCTATTAATTTAGCATATTGTGTACTATTGAAACGTATACGACAGCACATTTATTTTAACAGCCACACTAAAATGATTGAGATGTCTTTAATACTTTAATCAAGAAGATCATGGAGCAGAAATTGATCCTTGTTGTTTGAATATTTTGCAATTGACATTTTATAACAATAATAGAATGAGACAAACAATAATAAAGGGTGAAAAAAAAAATGAAATATAATTAGGTGAATACTTGTTCGTCTCTGTAAAACTGAATCTCTTATTCATGAAGGTAATTACTAGCGAACTATCAATACCATAAGATTTCGCATATGTATATGCATTTTTTCATATTGAACAAAACAATATGATATTCATTCTGTGTCTTATTTAATTATCGACAAAGGTTCAACTATTGAAAGTCATCTAATATGTCAGCTTGATCTTTATTATGTATTTTCCAAATGATGTATTGCTATTGAATTCTTAATGATTAACGCTATAAAGTAGTTATTTTAATTCCTTTTTGACTTCTAAAATTTATTTGAGATAAAACACTAATTAGCTCACAATTTCGCAAGTGAAGAAAGAAAAGATAGAACTGATATAAGGATTTAGACGAGCGTATTAGTGTAGGTGCGGCTCTTGTCTTCGCTCATATACACTTCACTTTCACACCCTTAACTTCACCTGCATTCTTCCAAACTTAATCAGCTCCTCAAAATATACACTTTTCGTATTAAAATGAATTTCTTGATCCCACTCAACGTCAGACTAAGAGTTTTATTCTTTCATGTGAATGTATAAAAATCAATTTTCGTTATACATCGTAGACAATTGGTCTGTATTCTTGCAGCCATATTAGCTTCTATCATTATTTTGAATAATAATGTGCAGAAATTTGAACTTCTTTTGAAAGATGGGATCTATTATGCACTCCTGCGAGCAACTTTCCGGCTTCCTTTATTTCATCTATTTTCACTTTCGAGCTTTCAAAATACGTTCATTTTTCTACAATAACAATTTCACAAAAGCATTACAAGATAACTTTTATATATTGATATTTTTTTTTTGTGAAATCAAAATAACTGTTCTGGTGTTATAAACATACGTAACTTAAATTTAATCGTATAAATAAAACTATTCGGATAGTATGTTAATAGGCTTAGACATGGTATCTTCAATATGTTGAATAAATATTTAAAGAACACAAGATTAAATGATTACAACATTATGCTAATCTTTTTAATTTTATTCAAGAAACTTTCAAGTTTTATTTTTTTTCAATTTTCAGAACACTTAATGCTCTTGTATATACAAGCACGAAATTAATATGAATCATTGTCTGCATCTTCCGTCATTATATTATTATACTTGGAATTTTCCAACAGTCATAACATTCATTCTTTTACCACTTTTTTTCTTTTCTTCCGGTTGCTTCTCTCGACCGTATTTAAGAAGCGTGATTGTTTGGTTCTTTCATAATTTTTTTTCATACAACTAGCGAAATTCGTTTGTCTGAATAAGAGCCTTCTGTTTCTATTGAAAATATTTTTCAACGTGCGTGAGACACCTATGTTCGTTATCCAAATACTATAAGATCTTTTGCGTACCAATCCTTTTTTCAATTAAAAAAGGAAACAAACATTGGATGCCTATAAAAAAAAAGTTGTCTTTTGAAGTCATATTATTTTTTTATAATTTATCTCGGAAGAAGAAAAAAATCGATTGTTTTCATTCATTTCAGATAAAAATTAATCAACAAAAATGACACATCAACCAGATGAGAGTACGTTAAAACTATAAAATAATGATTGTTTTATTTTTCAATGGTAATTTTAGTTTTTCATCATACATACGATGATGATGAATTCAATCGTCTTCCAACAGGAATATCATTATATTCTATTTCTCAAGTGCCAAATAATGAACATCATAATGATGTCGATAGTAATTTATTAGAACCATTGAATGAATTATCACCTACAAGTAGTACCGATGAATTCATCAAGAAAATTTTGGATTCAGATGCACCATCACCATTCACATTTTTATATGATCTTGATGAATCATTATTTCCCGGTTATGAATTCGATGAAAATCAAATAGAAGATACTTTTGAAGGTATTTTCTTCTTATATTTTTCAAAGCGGATATTCTAGATTAAATTATAGGTCTACCCAATGAGGCTACAACTACAACAGCAACCATCAGTACGTTAGAATTTTTTTATTTTTACTATTGTAAAATTTATTGTTAATATTTTCTTGTTAGATGCTGAAAATAATAATGGCAATTTTGTTAATGGTACATCATCAGAATCGATTTCAAACGAACATGAAAATCTTGTTCGTAATTAATTTTATATCAACATTGAAATCTTACTTGAATAGATTTTTTTTAGAAACCTGATGATAACAAAAGTGTCTTAAAACAATCTTCTGATGATATAAGTCTTCAAATGATTGATAATTCTATTGAACAACGAACAATGATTTTCGAAAGTCAACCACCAGCTTCCATTCGTTATCGTTATGGAAGTGACGGAAAACGTCAAATAGACAAATCTCGTACTAAACCATCGATTGTTAAAGTGTGTTAATTTCTTTCATCTTTTAATTAAGATTAAAATTTTGTTTCTTTTATTTAGTTACCACCAGGTTTAAAAGACATAAAATTAAATTCTAATCAATCTTTTGGACTTCGACTTGGTTTGATTACATATAGTGAAAATCTATTAGATGAAATAAATTTTCATGTTAATAAATTAGAATATCATTCTAATGATGTACATAAATTTAATGATAACACTGTTGGTATTCTTTTAACGCCAAGAAATATCGAAGAAGAAAGAATAGTGTAATTATTTTTATTTTTTATTGAATTTTTCTTAAATTTATCTGTTATTTCAGACTTTCACGACAATCAATAGTCAAAACAACATTGAATAATTACAAACCAAAATTAATTCCGCTTTGTCTAACAGGAATTCCTAATGATCCAAATGAAAGTATGTGCTGTTTCATTTTTTATATATAACGATGTATCATGTTAAAATGATATTGATTAGTGAAGTTATTTCAGAACAACTAAATATCAAATAATCATCATTTTAAAAATATATAATAATAACTAAACTCGTTCACGCATGAAGAAATGAAGTGTCGGTCAGTTTCAGACTCATAAAAAGACCTTAGATAATTGAAATTTTTAGTACTTACCACATTCCAATTCTATGGGTATAGAAGTTTGATATAAACTATACTAATAGAGCTCATTTCAAAAAAGAACATCAGAAAGGTATGTTGATAATAGTAATAGATAATGAATTTCAACACTTGGATTTATCTTTTGTTGAAGACAACATATTTTGGCTTATTCTTAATTTCTTCACTTTGATTTTATCTTCGCGGCTATGCTCAATCAAGTATCCTTTTTATATTCATTATCAATATCACCATTTTATGCTAAAGTGCATACCGAGATAGACAAAAAAAAAACTCCGAGAATTTAATTAAGTAAGAGAACTGCTCTGTCTCTCAAGTAAAAATATTAACTGAATGTAATGCTGAATTTTTTTGAATAATTTGTTCTATAATGATTCGTTAAAAAACGATACGTGTTTTTTAATATAAAAAAATAATTATAAGTATATATGGGTCATATCAGGCAAAATGGAACATAATTTGTTTCTTCACAAGGATTATGTTTCTAAATAAGTTCTTTTAACATATGCCAAAACAAAGTTGAAAACTTCAAAACAGATTCAACGGCAAGAATCGTATCCATAATGAAATTGTCGACATGATCAAACTTTAAAAGACTTCCTCTTAAAAATCCTACTTTCTAGAGATCCTGTGATGTTCAGAAACAAAATTTTTTGTCTTAACATTATCTAGAGACTCTGAAGAAAGAATTGTACCGTTTGGAAATGGTTTTTGAATTCTCATTCGGCTATAAGAGTATTTTTTCGTACACCCTCACATCACTAACGACTGATTTGAAATATAATTTGCTTTTTATATCCTTAATAAAATGATGATTATTATTTTAAATTTAGTTGTTCTGAAAAATAACTTTGTTAACCGATGAAACTTCTACATGACATATTTATTGCATAAATATATTTTCTTAAATTAGATATGAATGAAAAAATATCGGTACGAGAAGCTAAAGAGATGTATAAAAAATTTAATTTGAAAGCTAGTCGAATTATATGTCAATTAGTCATTAAACAAAATGATTTATGGCATTTTACTAATATTAAATGTGAAACACAAGTTATACAAGACAGTAACTAATACAAGAAAATTTTTATTATTAAAAAGATAATCTCTTTTTTATGTCTAGAAGATCAGAAAAGCAAAACACAAAAACGATCAGCAAAAACAACAGAGAGTGATGAAGATGAATTATTAGATGAATGTCCAAGCGCATCAAAACCAAAATCAAAACCAAAATCAAAATCAACTAAACGAAAGAAACGTTCCGCTTAATGAATATATTATTATTATTATTATTATTCATTCAAAATTTTGTTCGTGTTTTCCTTAAAATAGTATAAATGACTTTTTTAAAACAAATAAGAATGCTGAAGGGCTTCATTCGCTATTTTTTATCATGAAAAATTTTATTTTATCAATATGAATTCTTTTTAACAACTAAGGAAAACTATGAACGATCATTTTATTTTCTCTATTTCTAATGATTTTGTTTCCAATTTGTGATTTCTTTTTTCTTGAATTCAATTCAACAAAATAAAAATATAATTTGAACCGATGATTAATTGATTTCTTTCTGTTATTATTGTAGTATGAAAGGCAACTTTCAATTACTAATTCTCCTATCGATTTGAAAATATAATGTGCTTCAATATTTTTCGAATAAATTTTGATAGGGTCTTTTCATCACACTAATCAATAGAAAAAAATCTTCTCGTTTGATCCACGCAAGACCGACATTCCTTGTTTGTTCCGTTTCGCTAACTACTACTGCCTAGATGCTGTTCCCAGTGATCATAGGTCTATAGGCTGAAAATCGAAGGCTTCAGGAAAAGTCTTATAACTCTTGAATGGAACAAGCTAGGCATGTTGATCTTTAGTAGATCGAAAGAGATGAACTTTTTCTATTGAATAATCATATTAAACGTCTTGCTGACTTATCAAAATTTGATATACATCGATGCCTCAAGGCCGTTTCTTTGTCATGGTGCAAATTACAGATCTCTTTGATGTTTCTATCAACAGCTATTCAAAAAGCAGTGAAGCACATTAGATTTGAAATGGGTATTAGTCATTGTTGCTAACAGAAAAATTTATTTCAAAGAGTGACACAAAACCACTGAGTCTTGTCAAAAAAATTAGTTTTCTTCCTTATCATAAGTGAAAAAACGTCCAAATTTTGCCATTTGATCTTGGGTAACCAGATCAATATTATCGCAAAATTTCTATATCACTAAACTGTACCGATAAGAGAGGTATACAGAATGGCCCATAAAGAATTCAACGATAAGAAATTTGATTCTCTTGATTAAATGTCAATCAAATGAGTTGAGGAATTTGTCACCTGTTACAGGCTGAAGAAATGTCACAGGATGGCCCAAGCGTATTTCAAAGAGATGTATGTGAGTGTACACACGATCCTTACGTATACATATGTTTTTCTTTCTGAATCTGAAATTTAAGAATGTATACACTTTAGTTACAATATGCTCTTATTGTTTACATATAAAGAATCATAAATAGAAGAAAACAAAAGTTCACAATGATACTTCGGAATCATTTTATAAAATTTTTTCACTTTATAACATGTGACAAATCTTTGTTGATGTAAAAATATTACTACATCGGAACACTATTTGTTAGTAGTTCTCTTATGAAAAAAAGCTTTAAACAAGCCTCTGTTATTGACAAAAATGTCAACTCATTTGAGCGACATCTAGCAAAGCTATTGAAATTTCTTGTCGCCTAATTATTAATGGACTAACCTGCATAAATTTGTATTCTACAGAAGCCATTTTACCAATGTCCCACAAATGAAAAATAGTACAAATCTATGTGAAATTCAGAAAAGAAAACAACACAATAAAATAAAATATTAGCAGGGTTATATTGAGCACACGTCCATCAAATGTTTATAATTATTAGATGTATATAATTCACACTTATCATTAATTACAATTGATAATTTATAAACTTGTAGGTATTTTCCATCAATTATTTTGTATAAGTTTTTGTCGCGATTTTTCTCGTCTTAAGATTTCATTTTCAATATTTTCCTGCTATTTTATCGTGTTCATGTATTGCTGAAATAGAAAATACTAAAGAAAGAAATTTGGACAGTGCAAGCTTTGCAAATGTGCTCTGCATCGATTTATTCAGAAGTTGCCAAATTAATAAACAAAGATACTCTGGTGAAAATAAAAGAGTTATACTTGTGCTGAAAATTAATTATGTATATATATGTCTTGTTAATATAGGGTTAGATCAGTGTTGTCAACTCTTAAAGTTCTCAAAGCAAAAATTCACCAACAAAAAAGGAGAAAATAGCAGAAGTCTTTTTCTTAAAAAGCAGAAAGCATATTTCATATACTAAATAATTTTTCAAGCTTTTATTGAATGAAATAATGAGAAATTTGACAAATATTTTAATCTTTATTGTACGAAATCCAGAAAAAAATTATTTAAACACACACAATGTCACCAACAAAAGTTCACAAAAATTTTTATTCACATGATTCAAAAACTTGATATGGCATAATAAAGAAATGCTGTTGAAAAATATTATAGATAAAATATCTGAAAAAGCAGAATTTTTCTGATAAAAGCAGAAGAATTGTTAACACTGGGTTAGATATAAAGGATAACAAACATTTACTTGCAAGAAATTAGATATCATAATTAAAATATTTTTTGGTTTATAATACGAGAGAAAAAAACAATTTTTCTAAAAAGATTCCCAACCTTTTGGACCACTCTAAATGTGTAACATTTAGACTGCCTTTTAGTTCTTTAATGCGAACTGGCAAGTACTAGGTTACTTTACTGTATTACACTTCAATATCTACTTGTTGCTGCTATTTGCTTTTGTAGTCATTTTTCTGAAGACTGCTATCATAGAAAAGTGTATCATGATAAATAAATAAAGAAAAGAAGATGAATGAATACTTAAGATCTTTGCCAGAACTAAGAAGAATAAAAATTTTTTAATTTTGTCTCTAGAATCTTAGTTAATGAATAGTGCTATCCTATAGACGAGTATTTTACTCCAAATTTAGAAATAGAAGCGTGCTAGTTTTAGAAAGAAACAAAATTTTCATAGATTAATGAGATTTTTAACTAAAGAGATTGTTATGATCTGGATCTTGTTCAGATACAGTCATAAGGATTTTCCCCTGTCTTCTGTACGATTACACCTATGAACTTATGTTCGACTTCTTTTCTCTTATGGTTTAGTCAGGTACTATAGGCTTTTCGTTTCCGTTCACCTATGTCGGAATTTTCCCTTGTGTTCTATTCTTCTTTGTTTCGTGTTGTTCTATGAATGTTTCCTTTCTTTTTTCATCGTTTATGGGATTTTCCATTAGGAATTTTCCAACGCTTGTTATCACTATATATATAGCGTTACGTTGTTGTGTAGAATTGAGAGAGAGAGAGATGATGATGATGAAAGAGAATTAGATTTAGATACAGTTATACAAAAAAAAAAAAGATAAGTGGAATTAAGATCTCACAGAGATTTATATGAATTCTGTTATAGAAATGTATTCCATTGTACTCACGTATTTTATAGAAATCACATAATATTGTGAAAAACAAGTCGTTAAGATTGATCTTTCTGTAAGAGTATCCTTTCTGTTTTTTTTTCGACTATTTGTGGTTCTTGATAAGGATGCAATAAATCGGATTCAAATTTTTACTACCCGTAGAACCCTTAAAATAAATAGATATTATATGCGCGAGGGAGAAAAAAATTCAAACAAGATTTTACGAGGATCTTTATATTTCCACAGAACCACATTCTCCTGCAGTAGGACTCCATCGAATTGTGTCCAATCTAGTTGACATTGTTTGGGACATAATTGAAAGTGTATCTCATAGTTAGATTTATCTATTACGGAAATCTGGCTTTTTGTTTTTTTTTTATGACAAAAAGACGTGAAAATGTCAGAGGTTTGGCTATTAGAGTTCTATGATCCAAAGACGAAGGTCAAAAATCAAACCGAACGATTCTATCTTCGAAAAATACTTCAAAATATCTATGCTAAAAATGTCAGCTTGATCGGCAGTACTCTCTTCGAGAACTAGACGTCATCACAAAAGATGATGAGAGGTACTCTTCATGTTTCCCAATGTTTATCCGATTTCCGACGAGCTTAATAGGATCTTCGTTAAATTTGCTCACAAAAAAAGTTTTTTATTTGAATGTATACTGAACACGAAATAAATAAATGAAAATAATATCTAGATTTATTTCAATAACTTATTAATTCGTGGATACTCACGAATTTCAATACATATTACTTCCTATTGCGAAATTGAATGTTTTACTTGCAATTTCACAGCTTTTCTTTTTATCACATGTTTAAAAAATATTTCTTAATATTTCGTTAACTTGATATGTTAAATGATAAGCTTTGAAAAAATAGAACAAAAACTGATAAAAATGTTCTCTCATCATGCTTCATACTTATTTTTAATTCAACATTCATTTTGTCAACATGTTACTGTAAAATTATTAGGTCGTATTTTTTTCTTCAATGTAATCTGCCGTCATCTATAGAAATCTGTTTTTTTCTTTTTTTTCTGTCAATATTTTTTTTGCCTGACTCACAGAGAATTGTGAAAAATATTACTTGCCCACAGTGGGCCTGAAATGCAATTATAAAAAAACGATGTTCCTGTGCATTAATTCACTTCTTTTTCAGTAAAACTGTGCATACAACACTATTTTTATTGTAACAATTATTAATGGACAACTCGACGAACCCTACAGATGATATTTCTCTAGACGATTTATTCCCAGACGGAGATTATTCAAGTGTTTTGAATGATTTGCAATTTAGTGATAGTAAGTTGAATCATATACAGTGTATTCTTTTATATCTAGTGATCCTTTTAGCTGTAGAATTCAATGATAACAATCGAGATGATCTTTTACAACTGTTAGCATCTGCTAATAGCGATGATACGAATTCGGAAACTGCAGATGGCAATGATTCATCAGAACTCGTTCATTTTTTATTAGGTTTGTTGCTTAAATCTTTTTCGAATCAATAACAATTTTTATTTCTATTACAGATGAACAACGAGATGCGGTAGCAATTGTTGATGATAAAGAAAGAATGCCAAATTCAACTTTTGATCAAAATTCCAGTATTACTAATATGCCGATGCCCCAAGAGACAACTGGAGATCAAAATTCCAGTATTACTAATATGCCGATGCCCCAAGAGACAACTGGAGATCAAAATGTAATAATGTATCAAATGTATCCATCTATATTTGAAATGCTTGATGCTGCCATCTCTGTTAAGCAACAACCTAAGGCAAATAATCGTATACGTTATGGTTGTGATGGTGTCCGATTTTTGCCTGACTCACGATATCATCCACTGGCAGTTACTGTGTGTTATTTTTTTTTCTTCTTCTCTTCATAAAAAATAATGTCATATTGTTTTTTTTAGTTCTGTAATTTGCAACGCATTGCATTAGCTAAAAATCAAACGTTGGGAATCGTCACGACGATAGTAACAAGTACAAACAATCCCACTAGTCAAACATTTGTTCATGCTAATAATATTACTGTTCGTGAACCAAATGCAATACAAATAGCATATGGATGTGTTTTCGCTCCGTTAAAGCAATCTGAGATAGACGAAGGTATAAAAGAGTAAGTAAAATTTTATAAAAAATTAAACAATTTTCTATAACATTTTTTAACTCGTAGATATCGACGTCTGTCAATTTTATATAAAAAATATAATGACTATTCGTTTGATCTTACACCATTCAGTACAGAAACAATGTTTGGAACAACTCAGCAATGTTTGTATTTATAGTTTTAGTTTTTTGTTTTTTTGTTATGTATATCTGCTTTTTTTTTGTTTTTTTATAGATACAGTCCTGAATGATCCGAACATGGACATAGTGCCGAAAGGAAAATGTTTTAAACAGCATTACGATCTATTATCATATAAGTTAGTTTTTCAACTAGCTTTAAAAGAAAATAATATAATATACATTTCAAATATTACATGTGAAACTGAGGTTGTTCATGAACGTAAGTTTTTTTAATATTAAAATACGAAATATAATATAACGAGTATATTTGAATTTTAGAATCAGTTACACAAAAACCTGGTAAACGAACAGTATCATTTTCAATTGAAAGTCTTTCAGAAGAAGAGTCTAATTTCGAAACACAAGTTTCGAATTCATCAAAGAAATTCAAATCATCAACCCCACCGTTGATTGGACTTCCGGTAAATATAAATTTTTGATTGAAATAAAAGATTTATTTGAAATAGTACATAGTATAACAAATATATTTATTTCAGGTGACACATGTTTCAAACCAGTGTATTAATTACAACATGGATCATCTACAATGATCCTTGTTGAATGGCCTCATCCGATGCTCATGTATTGCTTGCCTTTCATGACTTTTGCAACAACAGTTAAATAATCAAGAGACTGCTTTTTTTTTGTTTTCTTTTTTCATAAAATGTAATGATTTAATCATGAGAATTACCGAAATGTTTTTTTTTTTGAATTTATAAATGTCTCAAATATTATTCATCATGAAGAATAAACTCTTTCATTAAAATTATTCTAGTATTTTGTTTTTCTTATTCATGCATTGGTTATAAATGGTTATTATATAAGTTTCTTTTTCGTTCATTCTCTATATGTTTGTTTCGACAGTACGTTTTTCCGTTCAAATCAATCCAAATCTTTTTTCCTTTTGCAAATCATATCTGTCGTTGTTTTTGTTTTGTTGTGATGTCAAACGAGTTGGTAAAATAATGCATGACACAATCATGCAAATAGCAAAGCAAATATGACAGAATGACGAAAGAAAAATATATCGTCAAAGTTGGAAAATTCCAAGCGTATAGTGATGTCAGATTACTTTCAGCCGTAGACGAAAATATAATTATAACATAAATAGATATGATTCTCCTTTAAGTAGTCTTACGAAACAGCTCTGATCAATCATCCTCACAACTTTTTTATTTAAAATAAGCTTAATAAATCTTTTTTTTTGCGTTTTTTTAATACAACGTAGGTTATTTGTGTCCTTCTTACGTCATCTTATCAATAAAAAACTAATATAAATGCATATATTAATCATCCTTTGCTTTTTTTTTCAAGGCGCAGTAACATAAAATCTACTTTGATTGGAAACATCAATTAATAATATGATCCTGATATATTCACATTAAATTAGTAAAACAAACTAAACAATATAATGATAATTTAATTAGAATTTATTGTTTTATTTTGTAGGCATGAACTTCAATTCATATTCAACTGAAGATTCTGACTTGGCTCTGCTTGATGGTATATGATAGATAATTCATATTTAATAATTATTTCTTTATTTTTTGTTGTTTTTTCTTCAGACTTAATTGAATCTCCATCAACTAACGAAGACTTCAGTATTTCAATTAATAGAATGCAAAGTTTTTTTTTTTCTTGAATATGCTTCGTTTTATTCAGGTTTTCGTGTTGCTTATGATTACAATCCATTGGAAACATTTTATGAAGCTAACTCTGCTGGTATTAATTGATTTTTATAAATCAACAAGAAAAAGATATTTTATTTGTTCTTTAATTTAGAGTCAAGTATGCAACATCGTTTTCTATTTCATTGATGAATATTATTAGTTCAAATTTGTTCATTCCGTAGGCTTTATCAATCAATTATATAAAAATTTAAAAGAAGTGACCGAAAACACCTATTCAACGGAATCCAATGATTTAATATATAGTATGTTTTCTTATTTTGCATTCAATTTTCAATGATGAAAAAAAACTTTATCTATAGCTACAAGAAATGATGAACAAATAACGATAAATAGTCCTCATAATGAATCATTACCTGTCATTCGATCACATACAGAAAAGCGTATAATACAAAACAAAATATATATTTTCTTTTTCGAAATATTTATTTCGTCGAATTCTTTAGCATCGGAATCATCCGTTACTCTTTCGAATTGTGTCGCTATTACTAATTCAAAATCAAAAAAAATACAACTTGTTTATCCGTTAGAAAATACGTATCGAGCACGATATAAAAGTGATTATTTTCCACAAAATGGTACTGTTCGACGACCACGTTATATTGCTGATAATGCATCGAATCATTTTATAACATTACAGGTAATAAATCACCTAAAGAAATATTATATTCACATTATCTTTAGTTGCCAACCGACTATCAATATGATGTAGAAAATGATTATATTCGTGTTGCATTAATAACAACATGTATTGAAGGTCATGGACATTACTATAGTCCATATAAATTTCAAAAAGATCATTATGATATTAAAGTACCTGATGAAAATCCAATTTATATAAAAATAGAAAATAGCCGAGACACTAATTCTGTTATTCGGTAAAAAAAATATTTAAAAAAAAACAAGAGAATATTTATGATAATGTTGTTAATTTGAAATATATATATATATATATAGACTTCAACTTGTTCTCATTAAATCTAAATTAGATCAACTTAATTATGTTCAACCATTAATACGTTTTTCTGATACGACTGCTCGTATACAGAGTAAAATTTAAGAACAGAAATTTTTTTTGATTTGTTAATTTTTTCAAGTTTAGACATAATTCATGAAGAAAAATTAACACCAAAAGATTTAATTAATAAATATCAATTGGAAAAATCACATTTAGCGTTTACATTATGTACAAAACTACCAGATGGTTTATATAAACCACATCCAAAAACAACAGTTATTTCATCGGTTATTTCTGAAGCATCAGCATCAAAAAAACCAAATGGTAAATTATTATTTGTATATATATATATATATGTTGCTTTAGATCATAAATCTGAATAATATTTTTTTGTAGAACCAACTGCAAGTCCATTGGGTAGACGAAGATTTTTCTTATTGTATATTTTATTAGAAACGTCTTTTTTTTTATTTTGAGCTAATACGACTCAGCATGTCAATTGTCCATGCTGTTCATACTCATTCGATCCCGATACTGCTTTAGAACTAGAGGAAAGACATCAACGCAAATCAAACCCTAAAACGGTACGTTCTTATTCGAATGTATAGTTAAGAATTTGTTTATTCTAAAAAAAACTTCTATTATAATATTTACAGACAAAAACAGAAAAACATACCAATAAAAAGAAGAAAAATGCATAACAATCAATAAAATTTATTTTATATCGGCTTTTTTTTTTCATTTGGAATATGTTACAAACATGCATCGTTGATAGGCATGTATTTTGGCATCACCAATGTTTCTTGTAATCATTATGGTCACCATTAGATAGAGGTTTCTTGTTTGTAATGAATCATGATTGAGCACAAACAAAAAGAAAACCAACGATAAAATAAAGATGAATATATCAGTGATTTGCTTCTATTTCTTTTGACTTGAGGTGTTATTTATTTTATTTCTACTCAATTCGAAAAAGAAAGAGTGTGGAATTTGAAGAGTGTTTGAGTAATCTGATTGTTTTTTTTCTTAAGTATGTTCCAGAACACATCAAAGCTTTTATAGAAGACACTTTCTATTGTACGAAAAAGTATAGAGCGAAATAGTCGATCCTTCCTTCTCCTGCATGAATTCAATTGATTACGATTTTGTTAGATACAGTAAATATGTACGGATGGACAATAGTCTTCATCCTGCTAAATCTTAACCACCATATGTGCTCAATAAGAATTATTGTGAATAGCATCTGTCTGTTCAAGTAAGGTTTTGAATCTGACAAAGGATCATCGATTAAACTTTTTTTTACTTTCTGATCAAATACATAATTAATTCCTGTTATTTTTACATGCGAATAAAATCATTCGATAGTAATATGGCTTCGTTCAATTAATACATGTGTATCTCCAAGTAACGAATGTTATTAGAGTTGATTTTTATGTGTTATATATATGTTAAATTACTCTGAATAGATTTTGGTGTGAAAGAAATTTCGAATTAAGACAGTAATTTTAGAAAAATTAAACAGTGTATTCTGTAGATAACTTCCGAGGCTATAAAATTTGTATTCGAAGCTTTCTTCTGAACATGTCTTGATTTTTCAAAAGAAAAAAGTGCTCTTATAATAAAATGACAAGTTCAAAGCCAATTTCAAACAGCACAAATCTGCCTTGACAATGTCTATATCAGAGTAGAACAAAAAACTTTTATTTCTGAACTAGAGTTTATTATGAAGGTTTCGGATTTTTTTATCATATAGTTCGACGGATACTTGCTAATTGCTTTTTAATTAATAGTCAGCTGAAAGTGCCAATACATTTACGTATGTTTATGCAAAAAGAACATATTCTGAAAAATAACCTCTGTAAAGAATCAAAGTCAAATGGCAGGTGAGTATCTCTTTTTGTCTGTAATGGTTATATATTTGGCTCTCAGTTTAAGATCTTTTTTTACTCAAAATATGTGCTAATGTGATCGAATAATGGTCTTTCTAGATGTCTTTCATAACTCTTGATTATTAACGTGATGGTCATAGCTCTATTATTGGCGCCTATTACGAGACTCGTTTTTGAAACTTATAGATAGTAGTGTGTTCAAGTACAGAAGACATTTTTCTAAGATTTTGAACTTCGTTCACTGAAGCAACACAGAGTTTTGATCTCAATGAGCAATACGAGATTTTTCTTCACAATAGCGGTTACAGAAAAAATTCGCATTGGTAGAAAAAAGTCATGAACTTCTATAAAATTAATTGCGTAAATACATGCTATCAATCTACATTCTTGGCAGAATATGTCTGCCCAGATAAGTTTTTAGAACCTGTCATCCATATGTTGGATAAAATTGAGTAACAAAAAAATTTTGTCCACCATTGTATATGAAATGTATTTTTTGACCAAAAAATTAATAATAAATATAAATTTTTCGGTTTCATAGAAAATCATTTTTAAATATCTTTCAATTCAAGTTTACAAAAAAATGGCTAGTACAATAAATTTTTCTACACATATTTCTATCAAAGAATGATTGACAGCAAGCACAATTCTTATTTTGATAATTGATCACAGATATTTGTACATAGTGGACGGAACTTCTTATAATCCTGCTGAAGTCAGAAGATGATCGAAATCCGAACAAATTTTCTACTGTCGTTTTCAAACTAGATATCTAACTTATTAGCGACTTTTGATTATTGTTAGTTAAAGTAGAAGACAATCTAAAATCAAGTTAATAACATGTTTAAATGTAGTTATGGAATTCTTTTCACTTCAATTTTTATCTGTTGACACTTCAAATTTTCATTCATATATCGAATCATAAACAAACAAATATGTATTAATTTACTTTAAAGATTAATTCAAGTTGACCGTATTCAACTTATTCTTTCGTATAAACATCAAAGTCTGATTATTTGTCTTTGTTTTTTCCATAAAACACGTGTATTGATTCATATGACAACATTTACTTTGTATCTATAGACGCAACAAAAAATAAATATAATCATAACTGCAACATGACAACCTAAAGATTTCATCAAGCCAAGATTCAAAGTTTCATAATGACTCAGAAATTTTTTTTTTGTAAAAAACATCTCGACATATATTCACGATACGTTTGGAAGGAATGATAAAAATGCACTCGAACCCCACATGTTGCTTTTTTTTTTGTTCTGTTCTGTTCTCTTGATTCTTCCTTTCACTTCCGAGAATGAAGATTTGCTTGGAAAAAACCCTATGTAAAAAGTTTTTTCCCACAATATATATACCCAACAGAATAATTCATATTCGTATTTATTTGAGTCAATCAACGGTAAGAACTGCTTTTTAAAAAAGTAATTCTTCGGAAAAAATTTTTTTCCATAGAACGCATTGTAAGCAATGTAATATTATTAATCATTTATCATTGCAACATCACTGATAGCAGTAAAAAAACATCAAGCAACTATGAATTCACAGAATAGTTTTTCGTCTATGGGTTCCGATCATTTATCTGTAGAAGTTAATAGTGATAATATACATGGAGATCTCAATCTATACAGTCCAATGAGTGATACATTTTGGAAATCTTTATTTAATTTCGATTTCCTTTTGGCTGACAATAATATTGCTGGTATTTGTGAATCAGCAGATCTGGCCGGTAGGATAAGAATAAACTATGATCAAATTTTCATTTTTATATACAGAGTCAATTAATCAACCGGTTGAAGCCAATGAATTTGATAAGTATCTTGGACCAACAATTGTATCAAGTAATAAAGTCGAAAATTAAAACATACAAATTAATTATTTTCCTTTAGATTTAAGTTTTGATAATTATGAAAATTTGCTCGTTACCGATGATTTACAAGATTTTATTTTTGGTAACCGAAATCTTTTTTTTCGTAAATTAATATTATTTAATTATATTTAAATAGAACAAAAGAAAAGTGTGAAGAAAAATAAAAAATCAATTCCCCTTTCATTATCGGTCGATGTAGGCGTACCAAAATTATTATTAAATCTATGTCCAAAAATTGAATTGGTTCATGAATTAGAAGAAACATTTAGACCACGATATAAAAGCGATTATTTTGCTCAAAATGGCACAACAAGAAAACCAAGATATGTGACTGATCGTCGCGGCAATCATTATGTTTCACTCAGAGTAATATCAATCCGTTTTTATCCTTTATTATTACTATTCTTTGTAAACAATCAACATTGTAGGTGCCGCCTGATACTCGTGGTAAGATTCGAGTTGATTGGCTCACAATTCCTACTGAAAATGGTGACCGATATATTATGCCATACAAATTTCAAGGCGATAATGATTCATCTGAAGTACCTGATTGTAATCCCATTTTTCAGGACATCCAAGCTGATTCTTCAGGAATTGTGAAGTAGATATATACATATCTCATTTCGATATATATCATATTATGTGAAAAATAGACTTTATTTAGTATTGATCAAAGCAAAACAAGATGCATTAAAATCACTTCAGCCACTTCAACCATTTCATCCGATTCAAGATGCTTTTGGAAAAATCGATAAACCAATTTCAGAAAAAGTTTTGCCATTAACACCAAAACAGTTAATACAGAAATACCAACTAGGTAAATCGCAATTGGCATTTACATTATGTACAATAAGTGCAGATGGTAAATCATATGTAACTGAATGGGACACGACAGTTTATTCGACAATTCTGAAAGGTAACAAAAAGAAATGTTTAAATGTTCATAGAAAAATCATTAGTTTAATTAATAGAAGAGACTGTCGATGGTTCAGCAGAAAAAACGGTTGCATGTCCGAAATGTTCATGTCTAATAAATATCAATGATAGTGTTCCGGATCAAGAAACAACAACGAATAAACGAAAAAATTTACAAATGAAAACAGGAAAAGCAAAGACAACAAAGGTATGAAGATGAGTTTTTTGAAAGGAGGCATTTAAACTTTATAAGAATTTCTTCTAATTTTAGAAGCAAAAATGTTTGAGTGACATGATTTATTGCATTGATTAATCACCAAACTGTAACCTACATTTATCTATATGCACTCATTTAATCTCGAATGATATTGTCTTTATATATGACTTGATTTAATATCATTTGACATTTTCTTATCGATGATATACGCTTAAAAATATTTCGTGAGAAATAAAAATAAACTATGGAAAAAAATTTATATAATATTTAGCATTGATTAATACGATGAGTTTTATAGAGAGTAGTATTTTGTAAAAAGATTTTTTCATGTTTCAATCTATTGTTCAAAACAATTAATAAAAAAAAAGAAAAAAGAAATAGTTTGTTTTTTTGAATACCAAGATCAATCGTCAGATATGACAAGAAAAGATTTGGAGAGTCAGCTATCCAGTAGTTTTTTTTTCATATGATTTTCTCTTCTGATTTACTATTCAAACATAATATCGTTCGGAAAAAGTTGTTCTAGTAAACCTAAAATGAATTCAAAGATTCAATCTATTTCTCCTGTTTAAAAATTTGACTAAATTTTATAACATCTGAAATGATAGGAGTCTTGCATCGGACAATGACATCTACTTTCGACTCTGATCTGTTGATTTACCAATTGTGTTAAATAATGTCTTTAAATAATAATAAGAAAACATTAAACGTATCAATTCTTGTTCACAGGACTATATTTTTATTGAAGAGGACTCGACAAAACAAAGCATAGATATTGTTCAATATCAGATGTTGGATGAAATATTTTGAGAGAGTTCGTGTTTCGTTCTGAGTAGTAGCGTATATGGAAGACGACTAGCAATGGAGAAAAATTTAGTCTAACAAACTAACAACTTTATTCTTCTTATGTTAATTAATGAATTTATTGGAGTCGAAGCCGCTATTGAAGGAGAAAATAATTTTTTTTCGTAGTCAGTATTGCGATAAAGAAAACTCACTAATTCGTAGTCAAAGAGTTTGACTACACACAACTATATAAAAGACGCGTTTTTTCGAATGCAATGAATAAATCATCTGTTATTTGTATTAATTCAATATTATTTTTTTCTTTCTATTGTGGTCAAAATCTTATTTGGTTTTAGGCATTGAAGATCTTCATAGAGAATGTAGTTTTTGATTTTTTCTCACTACTTCACTATGCAGCACATAACGATGGAAATTATATGGTCTTATTTTTGAATATCTATTTTGAGTATGGTGATTTATCGAAAAAATTTATTTCTAACAATATTATTATCGTTTAAGAGTATTATTTCCTTGCATCAATGTGTTAAAAGAAAAAAGTCAGTTTTAATCTTATCGAATAAAATAATATGAGGCGAGAAATTGTTCCATAACATAATTGTTGATTCAGCTTTAAAAAAATACGACGTCAGATTGCCAGTTTCTCTTTATATTTTCACGGTGATTAAATTTTCTAGTTATCAAAAATAAATGTATTGCTCGCGCATGTGATGGCAATACAGTTACATTTCCTTATTTCTAAAAGGGATGTTTTATTTTAATAAATCTTCATTATTTTAATGAAAAAAAAAATAAATTTTTATATGAGCTGCTTTGTATTCATGATGAACATATAGCAGTTAGCTTTTTATTTTAAAATTCACAGCCGTATTTCAAAAATAAGTGTAGAATTTTATTTGCAGAGCTATGTTATATGTCCAATTGTTAAACCAAATTATTTTCTACTTCCCCATTACATATTATGGACTGTCTCAAAAATGATTTATCGTAATTGAAACTGAAAGTATAGTTTGATTCATCGATCCTTGATTATAATTTTCTTGACGTAGTATTACCAGTTAAGATGAAAAATCAAATAAAAATGCAAACAACAATTAAAGACATCAATTCAATAAACAAATAGAGCTGTACCACGTATATTGTTTCAAATAATTTTATCACTATTATTATATAGAAAATCAATGTGAGTATCAGCCAGTTACTTTAATAGACGCGAACTGAAAAGCATTAGAGAATGAAATTCCACTTTCAAATAACAATAAATATAAATTAGTCAATATCGTTCTTCTCCTTCTTCTTTGATAAATTTCTTAGTGGAATGATAGTTTTGACAAAGAAAAGATATTCAAAGCAAAAGTAATAGTGAATCAAAGATCGTTTTCTCAGCGGTTATAAACTTCAGCTTATATCTATATTGAATCGTTGTACTCGATAATTTCCATTGTCGACAACATATAAATTTCCCTGTTGATCGAACGTTAAATCTAAAGGACTGGAGAGTTGATTTGCTTGTTCTTCTTTACCATTTTCATCAACAACAATACTACCCTGTTTAACTTCTTGAGGCCAACGGATTATTCGATGATTATTTGAGTCAGCAATATAGATAGTGTCCAACTGATCAACGGCCACTCCTATAGAAGCCCACAATTGGGTTAGACTATTTCCTGGACCGTTACCACCAGCGACAACAATACCTTCTTTTGCATCTTTCATCCATTTCATCACACGATGATTGTGTTCATCCGACACATATATTGACTGATCATTATAGACAAAAATATGAAAACGGCCACTAAGTTGATCAAGACGATCACCTTCTCCACTACCACCAGCTACTATTATTCCATTAGTGTCTTCAGGTTTCCATCGTCTCACTTCATGCTTTTCGTAGTCTCCCACATAGAGATATCCATTGCTAGACCTCAACAGTCAATGTTTTGGATGATTGTTTTCCAGAATGTACCATTTCGACAAGGCCATCGCACTGCTTACCTCTTACCAACATCGCAAATAATGGACAACCACTCTCTTTGTCACCAATCACATCTATTGGACTATTCAATTGAGTTATGGAATTTTCTAATCCATTTCCGTCGGCATCTATTTGACTACTAGTCGAATTACACTTCCATTTCACAATGCGATGATTTGAACAATCAGTCGCATATACAGTCTGATCATCATCAACACATAAGCCCCAAGAGTTCGACAAATAGTTTCATTCATTGCCTTGATCATAGCCTCCAGCAACCGTGATACCATCTTGTGCCCATTTTGCATTGGTATCGATTTTCAGATCATATAAGGACACTACAATATACAACAAATGTTTATGACAATGGTAAATTATACCATGGCTTCTTTATTAATATCAATATCGAAAGATTTTATTATGGGGACTAACGCTTGTAATTAGTCTGTAGCAAATTGGAACGAGTATCAATTTATTGGTTTAAATCTGAGTCTTGAAATGCTCTCATGTTAACATTTTTTGACCGTATTTTGCATTCGACAATATTCATTACAAGATTCTTCTTTTCATCGATTTGCAAGTTTAATATGTTTATTTCTTTCTATTTTTTCCACTTTTAAACTAACCTCACTGCTTTGTCAATTCTCTCAATAGAAGCGTTTTCTTGTTTGTTTAAGCTCTGTAGATCATTTATTCTTCTTCTGTTATATATATGGAACTCGTGTTAAAATTTACCAAACTAAAAGAGTTTTTCTTTTCGTCAAGAAGACTTTTTGTTTTCATTTCAACTTCGATGACAAATTTAATTGACCTCGAAATTCTGATATAGATTATTTTTGTAAACTGGATTCATTAAATGTTCGAATTGAATAACTACAATGTAATCAAAATTTATACAGATGGAAGAAGGTTCATGTATATGAATCGTTAGTTGATTGTTTTATTTGCTATTCTAAGCATCTCGTTTCTACATGATTTTCTAATTGATAGAAAAAATTTCAATTGAGGCCTCCCTCCCTCAAAAATCGATCTCAGATCCAGAACATCCAAATTCTATGAAACTTTCAGGATATGTTGGGGCTAGTGAGCCATGACTATGGTAAAATATTCAGTCCCATAGCACGATGTTTAACGAAGATATTCACCAAACAAGGGTCAAACATAGCTCTTTAGTATCTCCTAGTTTTCTTCGTGGATCTTCATTCCAATCATTTATTTTTTTTTGTTTGAAGGAGCATGTCCGATTCTAGCCCCTCTCGTGACCTTTTTTTTAAAATCCTTACTTTTTAAGGGAAGAAAAGGAATGACAAGTTCAATGACTTTAAAAAAAACCCAAAAAATGGCGCTGTTTCTATGAAGATGTTCTGTTATTTAATACTAAAAAGGCTTATTTAAAAAAAAAAGGACCACGAGGAGAGCTAGCCCTAGATACAAACTTTCAAACAAAAAAAAATATTTGACTTTATCTTTTACTATGATAGAGTTCTGCTAGAGATACGTTATTGAACCCACATTTTGAGAAAAACAAAAAATGATTGTCGGTTTTTTGTAAAAGCGGCTTGTTTTTCGAATAGTGGTTGAGGAAAATTTTGGAAAATTTTTGAAAAAAAAGAGGTGGCGATTAAAAATTTTTATCGAGTATGAAAGAGCAGATGGCGGACTATTTCTCCATGAATTTATCTCAATTTCGATGATTCTGGTGAAAAGTGACTTTTTTGGGGAGGAGGAAGGCTTAACTTAGTGATTTGTATTAGAGAGAAAATATTCTACTTAGAAATATTCAATATAGATTTAATTCTAATATGGTTTTAATTCAAAATAACTACCAGGCTTATAAGATGTAACATCAATTGAAAGCGTAGTAACAAGTTGTGTAGTATCATGTCGAGCATTGATATTTGATGGTTTAGTAAGTTTTTTTTTCAATTGAATTAAATCATCATTCCATCCATGTAAATCTGTTTCAAAAAAATCATTTTCTGCACGACTTTGTCGTATTTTATCAGTTAATTGATTTAACTTATTTTCTATTTGTCTAATGGAATCAATAATGTGAGTAAGTACTAGTTGCCTTGCTTTTTCCGCTTTTTGTTGAATTTTATTAATTGAATCATATTCCCATGTATCAATTTGTTGAATTAATGGATGCTGTTGTGGCTTAGATGTTTGCTCCGTAAGTATTTGTCGAAAGAAGTCATGATTAACTTCAACTTCATCGAATTGTTTACTTAGCTCTTGCTTGTGATCAGCCAAATGATTAAAACAAAATTCTTGTGTACATCCTCCACATAAAAATGTGACTTTTTCTTTGCCACATATAATGCGGGCAGTCCTACCAGGTGCTTGTGCCATATGTTTTAATATTCTTTTATTATTATATGTTTATGAAATAAGAGTATATAGTTGAAAAAAAAGAAAAAACAAGATAGCAATTTTTTACCATATTGTGTCCACAAACGTATCAAGAAAATGAGTTGTTGGCAATAGACTTAAAAAATAAAATCAAAGAATAGAAGAATACTTGTATTTGTTTTGAAATGGTAATGCAGTCAAATTATTTTTTTTTACGATAGCATTTGTGATCAAGTTTAATCTAATTACTTTTCATCATTTGAAAATCTACATTCAGAATGATTCTTAGACATCATTTTAATTGATTTCACTTGTAAACAATAAAAGATCAATGATGATTATAATTAATCTTATGATTCAACTATGCTACTGCTGAAAAAAACAAATTCGTGTTCATCTTCCATTCTGATTTATCAAATATAATAACTTTATCTTTCGTGTGAAAGTTAGCTGATGTCTGTGTGCATGTACTTGACAATATGGATTCAATATTCTTGAGACACAAAAATAATGATTAGATAATTTACCTATTGCTTCTGTCACATTTAGACTCATATGTGAATAGATTAATGAACATGCATTGAGTAAAATATTTTGTGAACAAAAATCCTTTATTATAATCTCTTCTTCTTTCAACAGCTTCATGTCTTATATTCCAAAATACTATAATTAGTTTTATGAAAAACTTCTTTCATGGATAGGATTTTTTTTGTTTGTATTTTATACGAATCTATGTGATTTCTATAATGTGAAAAAAAAACTATTTGAAAAACAGCTGCTTTGATACTTTCAGACAAGAATGTATCGAAACGAACATTAAATAGTGATATCCTACTAAGAAACTAAAACAGTTAAGTTGATACCTCAATTAATCGAGAAACACATGATGAGTAATCTTATTTCGGTTTCAAATAATTTTTCCATAAAACATGATTGAAAACCTAAGACTGCCGTTTGAATCTGTTGAATTTATTCTACATTAATATCATTTCGAAAGTTTTTTTTGTTTTTTTGAAGAAAAAAGAATAGCGCAAGTTTAGTTTTTTTTTGAAATATAATGTATATTTATGAAAAATCATTCTTGTTCACGAAAACTACTGTCCATGTAGAATTAAAATGTACACTACTGTTTTTTGAATAATATTGCATCAGACGAAATCATTTTAAAATCAGTCATTTCTGCGAAACATTGCAAAGAATGCGTGAAAGCGATCGATCATTCCAATGAAATTTTGGTTTTGATGTTTGATCTAGAGAGAGGAACTTCGGATTTGTGGTTCAAGATTTAATAGGAATGATTATTTTCTCACATCCTAGTGTTAAGCAAATAAAATCGTCTATTTACTTGCACGAAACTTATAAATTTCTTTTAATTTTAAAGCAAATTTTCTTACTTTTTGTCAAAATTTTATCTGAATAGCAAACTGTTTTTTATACATTTTTTGCAATGTTTTGCAGAAATGACTAATTTTAAAATGATTTCATCTGATACAATATTGAAGAAGAAGATATCCCTGTATCTTTTCTTTCGATGGGTGAAAACTGTACGTCTCTAACTGTTTCCGTTCTCGAGTTATTCAAGAAACAGTGGAGCATATTATATTTCTAAATGGACCGCAGTTATTTGAATCTTTGAAATTCTAAATATGACTAAGCAGTGTTCGAAGACATTCAAGTTTTTTTGTCAAGGTCGACATAACGTATCGTGTATCCTAGAAAAATACTGTTTCAGACTTTGAAAAGTTATGTTTGGCTTAAAAAAATATTTAATGTATGAAATAGATGGGTGTGGGTAGGTATGTGATTGAAGAAGAGAGCCACACCCACACCCACCCTTGTTATATTGAAAAAAATTTATTTATATTATCAGCTATATCCTCAATGCATTACTTATTCTATACACATGATAATATATGCCCTATACATGCCATAAAAAGCGGCACACATCATTTTATTCTTGGTTTCGACAGGTCAACTACCATAATAGCCTGCTATAGTTATTGATCTAATCGTTAAGGAAGGTTTTGAACACATCATCCTGTCTCTCGGCGAGCTCTATATACGTAAATCATACCTATTCGTTTTTTATAACATGCACCCTTATTGCCCCAATGAACGAAGTTCGAAATACGTAGTAATACATTCTAGTCTTATTATCTGTTTTTGTATATTGTATTTTGAACCTATTTAAATTTATAGAAAAAATCCTTGGTCTCTGGATACTCATTAACTAAAAAGAAAACTTTATATTTCTGTTATGGTTCTATTGGATGAACTAGTTTGTCTAATGATGGTAGAGGACAGTTCATAGCTTTTATTCAATAATATAGATTTCTTAAATATTCTTACAAGTAAGACTTTCAGTTTCACTGCATAATAAGTCTTTTTACAAGGTACAAGAAAATGTGTAGGACTGTTTCTTAAATTTTTTCATTTTGATTGGTTCTCGTGAACTTTTTGTCATCCAGACCTATTTCTCTTGCTTTATAAACGCTTTTTTGGACGTTTTTAACCAATTAAGAACATCACTCTCAAGTTTGGTGTCTATAAAAACGCTTAAATCGCGTTGGTTTAATCAGTTTGCGTTTCATCAGAGTCTTTCATAAGGGAGAAATAAATGGTTGTTGAAGAAATGTGACAATCACCTTGGATTTTCTTGATGTGTTAAAAAATGTTTACAAACGAAGAGGAATAGGTCAAGATGATAGGAACTCCACCATAATAAAACAAAATGGAACAAATTCAACACAATCCTATATATTGTTGTATCACATCTTGAAAAAGACTTTAGTTGTCCATTGAACATGTAATTATTACTATGTAAGAATAGTCGAGAAATCTATATTGTTGAATAAAATTTTGAACCGTCCTCTACCATCATTAAACAAACCAGTTCATACAATAGAAATTTAATGGAAATATAAAGTTTTCTGTACGATCAATGAATTTCCAAGCATGCTGTACTTTATTCAGGGATGCTGTGATGAGCACAAGAGGGCACAACCCACTTTTTCACCACTATTCTAAAACATTGTATATGTACTCACTATTTCAGAACTCAAACAATTTCTGTATATCCCTCCACTTTGGACTCGTCCTCGCATTCCTACTTCATTTGAACTTATGAAATAAAAGAATTAGTAATTTTTAGATGAGATCGAAAAACTTCATAAGAAGACGTCTTTTTTCATAAAGAACCATAAGCAAGATGGAAGCGAGCTAAAAAGCTGGTCAGACCGTATTCAGACAGTTTTTTCGCTAACTTGCGGATCTCTGGTCTTGAGAAGCTCCTTCCTATTCTGTATGATAAAATAATGCATTTCTTTTCTTTGATTAAAAAAACCTATAGGTGAAAAGTTGAAACCATTTAAGTATTTTTTGGTGTTTGCTAATGATGAATTATAGAATGTGAATCATTTTATAATATATGTTTACCGTCTTTTAGTTAAGAATTTTTTCAAATAAAAAACCAAATTCTCCATAGCTTGATGTGTTGAATTGTGAACTGTGTTTTATTTTTCTCACTATGATACCGAGACAAAATTCGAAACAACGATTTCAATAAACATAATCAGAAAATATTCTTTTTGTTTTTTCGCTGACCTAAAATGTTGTATTATTCTATAAACGGTACTATAATACAAGAGTTCGAGAAATCATAACAAAAGAATGAATATACATGGATGATGATTGATAAGAAAACTATAAAAAACAACGATTGAATTGTTCAATGTTTACCATTCCTTGATATTTAAAACACTGATTATACGGTTTCAGCTAAGATAGTCTGTTCCTGGTTGTAGTCTTAGTTGTTTTTGGTGTTCTGCTTGCGATAGTCCTAGTTGTTGTTGGTCTTATTCTGATGATAGTCGTAGGTGCTGACGGTCTTCTACTTGTAGTACTCATAGTTGTTGTAACCTTGTTGGATGCCATGATTGATTTGATCCATTTTACATAGTAACTGATTCGAGTGTAAACTCCTGGATACTCAGGCAATGCACATCCATTTCCATAGGATGTGATACCATGAAGTTGCCAAATATTATTAACAAATGCCATTAATGGTCCACCACTATCACCTAGACAAGTATCTGTGGACAGAAAAAATAATTGATGTAAGTAAATAAGTTTATTATTAATGTATTACCTTTGCCACCTGTTATTATTCCAGCACAAAATTGCAGTTTACTATCAAAAATAAGAGGTTTACATCCACTGTATGTAAGTGATACGGATTTTAATGTAACTTGACGAAGAGTTGAAGAACTTTTATCTGACGAGATTGATGTAATACCCCAACCTATTGCAATCATATTAATATTGTCTGGTGGTTGAGAAACAGTACCAGAGGGTAAACAGATTGATTTGATATTTCCATGTCTCATATTGAATGGACTAGATAAGCGAAGAAGAGCCACATCATTTCGATTTGAACTAGGATCAAAACGAGGATGTCTGTAGAGTTTAGCGATTGAACGAACTTGAGATGAATTATTTGATGAAGGTTTTAAAGTTAAGGATCCAGCAAGAATAGTGACACTTTTTAAATCAGTTATGTATTCGAAACAATGAGCAGCAGTAATAATGAATGATGGTGAAAGAATGGTTCCTCCACAACGATGTTCTCCAGAAGTACGAATGGAAACAGCCCATGACCAAGATTGTCGAACTGCAGATTCACCACCAATAATACGTGATATAAGAGTTAATGAAGTTGAGCATCCACATGAAGTATTTGTATTACATTGGTATATCGTTGCACTTCCTTGCTCGCAAATAAAAACAAGGAAGAAAAATATGATAAGACGCATCATTATGATATTATAGGTACGAATGATTTCTAATCTATAGACGTTTTTTCTTCATTTGTGACCTCTATATAGTTTTTACGGCGTAGATGAATCATAATACACGTTTTAATTTGTCAATCACTCAGAGAACGATTAAAATCACCTAAAATATTTTTTCCTCTACATTCACAATTGGATTATTTGTTATGTGAAAGACATTTCACGTTTTACTATTTTTTTAACTTGATTTGTCTACATATTAATGAGAACTATCAGTTGAGAATAGATAATCATATCGACACAACTCATCCTATTTCAAGCTTTTTCTTCATATATAACTTTACATGAAAAAGAATGCTACAAAATCCATTCTGACACTGTTAACATGTTTACTAAAAAATATTAGATAATAATAAAATGGTATTGAATGCACGATGGTAGGAACAAATGACTTTCATCTAAATGAATTTGTTTTTGTTTTAAAGAAATAATAAAAGAAAATAGTCATAATATTTTTCTTCAAAGTCTAGTTTGATATTAAGATAACTAAATCAGACTACTATGCTCGATTGAAGCAGCATTTGACATCATGTTGTCTATATATATGAATCGTGTTTTTTTGAATTGTATCATGATTGAGAGAACAATAACTTTATAATAAAGTTTATTGAAAAGCAAAAGCATTATTGATAAATCTCTTGTTATATGTTTAATGATGAAGATCAAAATAGAATGAAAACAGTGCTTACTTTTACGATTAATAAAGAAAAATATCGAAAAGAAACAAAAAATGATGTATGACAAAACATCCACCTACTCGATATTAGCAATAGAAAGAAAGGAACCACGTGATCGAAAGGATTGTTTATATTTTTGAAAAACAAAACGAATCAAACTTTCAATAATTATGCTAATGCATTGATAACAGATTTTCATATTCAATTTTACTCTTGCTCCATAGAATCAGTAATTTATGATTAGTCACTAGAAGAAAATTAAGTCGATATTGATAAATGAAAAAAAAAATTATAAGTCAGAATACTAATGAATTTTGTTATTTTTTTCGGTTCAACAGATGCTATAAATTATATGAAACATCATTCAGACAAAAGGTTTATGAAATGGTAATTGTAATAATTAACAGAGAATGTGATATTTTTTAATCAAGAATTTCATTTATTGTGTATTAAGAATGGTTCATATCTTGGATGTGAACTTAATACTCAAACTTCTGATGAATCTTTTCTTAATCATATCTTGTCTAGCATTTGACCTTGAGCTCTCTCATACTTAAACTCTTGTCTGATCATGAACAGCGGATGAATGTTCGATTAATTTATCTCATTTTTTATTTTCTTCTTTCGTTTGATCCTCTCTCATTTTGTTCAATTGTACTACTGTCCAACAGGAAACTCTTCATGCGGCTTTTTGCTATACTTCAAATGTTTCAAATAGTGCAGCTAATTCGTCCAGTCGTTTTTTTGTTCTACCACGGATGAATAGACTGTACTCGATCGTCTATTTTTTTTTACAGGAGACTGTTTGAGATTTTTCGTATAGGTGGGCTGAATACGTTGAGTTTAGCTCATCAGTGCACTTTTTATCGATCTATTGGAAGTGATATGCGTCTAGCATCTCATAAAACGACGGGTATGCGTTTAGTTTTGATTTCCGTGTCAATTATTTTATCATTCTTCATTTTCTTTCTATCCTGGTGATTGAAACTATGTTATGCACGGCTTTGTACTGTTTTTCATGTAGTTGCTCTGTCATGTCAACTATATAAAATGTAATTAATATTTTTTTTGTCTTTTCGCTGAGTAACCATGAGATTTAGTGTAATAAAGCCTATAATGAAAAGAAGTAACTAACAGAGACCGACTTGGAGCGAGGTTTACTACAGTAGTTAGAATTGAATTCCGTTTATCTTTCTTTGCTTAAAACCACTTTGACTTTGGGTTCGGTTCGTTTTCGATCTCCAGTGTAAAACAATTGATCGAACGTTCGTTTAATAGGTAATTCACAGCATCACAGTTCTACTGAAAACGTTGTAGTTCAATCAATCATTTTCTTATGCATTTGCCTACATTCACTAGTTTTTCGAAACTGAGTTGAAGCTCGGTTTAGTTCGACATTATTCTTTACAAATCAATTCGGTTCGTTTTAAATCTTTGATAATTAATACGAAAATACGATGGCTGAGTACATCCAATTGACATTAATAATATGTGGAAAAGTTTTCGGCAGTTTTCTATCAATATATCTTTTCAGCCACGTAAGTAATTTTAGAAAATTAATAGTCATTTTAAAAAGTATTTTAAAGTACACTTATTATGCAAAAAGAAAGGTTCTAGCTTAAGCAATAAGAGAGACATAAATGTGACAATATCATTAAACATTTGTCAGAAAAGTTTTTTTTTTTTTATACATATCCAAATACAAAACCAAACAATAACAGTAGAAAGTCTAAATATAGGTGTACTCTCTGTGACGAACTTGACAACAGAAGTACCTGTGAGATAGTAATATACGTTGTATTTGACTTCTGCACACAATAAATCGTCTCGTTCACACACAGAACATGTTTTCATTATTCAACAGTAAACAATTACTATTTTGAGAACCAAAAACGCATATAACAAACTTCCTTTATTCACTCTCTCTTATTTTTTGAGTTAGAACCTTTATAATTTTACATAATAAGGACACTTGTTAATTCCTTTTTAAATGGCTATTTATTTGTTGAAATTGTTCCAGCAGTTGCAAATATATATCGAAAGAAAAATTACGTGAATTTTTTTCTGTATCTTATTATTTGAAGGATACAAATCAGAGAGTTTCAATCGACTCGGTTATGTGCGGTTCGATCTAGCCGATGGAATGAAATTTTCATGAATGGAAAATATTGGATTGCTCAGAGCTGATTCAATAGTACGATGAGTGTTCATCGGCCGAATTTTCAATAATATATTAAATTTTCAAAACATGCCGCATAGTTTACCTCTTTTTTTTTCAAATCTCACGTTATTCTTCGATTCGCTAAAACATTGCTGCAATGAACAGCAAATAAATAAAACAAAATAAAGAAGAAAATACAATTTTCATTACCTTAAATAAACACTTTCTTAATATTCAATAGAATGTTTGTACTTGTTCTCATCGTACATCAACACTTACAACATTATTATCAGTTACTTTTTCTAGTTCTGATTCTGTTCCTACTGAATATTTTCAATCATTTATTTTTCTTAACATTTTTTCGTCCATTACTTGTGCGCTAGTTTATTGTTACATACAAAACAGTATAAATACAAACGAAAAAAGTTCTTTTGAAACAACAATCGTCAACATATGATTTTATTACGAGTGAAACAATAAACAAATCTTTGTGTTAGAAAGTTTTTGGTTTTGTAACTAAGAAACCAGAAAATAATGATGAATTTCGGAGAATTGTAGCTGTTGGGTGCTTATAAAACTAAAAGGAAATTAGTTGAGGTCTAGGCGGACTCCAAATGGGCGTTTCAAGGTTAAAATTGATCATAAGTGATTTTTTATTTCCTTAAATTCATGATTCTCGATGTGTAAAAACGTTCATTTTTTTTTCGGTGAGAAAACGATAAAAAACAGTTTTGGCAGTAAAAATGTAGGTTTGTATCGATTTTGTTTGATTGAGTAGATGCTCTACAGGCTACGGTAGAGTAGAATGACGGTAGAGAAATGTAGAGATTTGCAGGGTATAATAAGATAAAGGTCAAACAATTTTTCTTCATACGAATATAGGGTATGAAAAAAGCTTGTCCTATATATTTCTGTTGCAAAGATTACACTCACCAAAAATATGCGACAGCTGAAAAAATTATTAAAACAAAATATGAATGCTCGCAGCTATCAGCATTTTGCCTGTCGGATGATAAATCTATGGTAGAGTTTGAGTGTAAGAACAAATTTCAAAAAAGCTTTCTAAAGTCGGAAACTGAAGCAAGTGTTTGCTCGTGGACATCCGTAAAAGACTATGCTAAGCTGAGCATAAAAACTTCTGTTAGAAACAACTATCTGCGTAAGTTTGTGAACAGTTTCTGATGAAGACAATGAACTTCTCCGCATTCTCAAAAGCAATCGAGAGTTTTGCTTATGTTTTTCGGTTTTTTTAAATATATTTTCAAGTCTTTTAACAACTCTATTTAGATTTGTCTATATCTCAGTTTTGCATGATACATATTTCTTCTTCTTGATAAAAAAAACGTGCAGATAATAAGTTGAAATCATTTAATTATTCTTTGGTATTTACTAATAATGAAATATTGAATGCAAATCATTTCATCATACATGTTGATCATCTGTTAGTTAAGAGTTTTTTTCAACAGAAAGCATATCCTTCTTAGATTGATGTGTTTAGCTGTGAGCTGTTTCTTGTTGTTTTTATTGTGACACAGAGACAAATTTTGAAACTACATTTCGAATAAATATGATTAAAAAAAGTATTTTTGTTGCTTCACTAACATAAAATATACTATTTATGTCACATTGTAATTCTGTATTGTTCAGAAAATGATATTCCAATAAAAGTTTTAAAGAAGAACTGACAAAAGCAATGAACACACACAAGTTATGATTGGCAGAACAACTATAGAAAACAATGGTTCAATTGTT